GGAGTATGTTGTAGGATCGGCTCGATCGGCAAATGTTCCTGTATTTTGTTTGGTGAATGATGAGAACTGGATACTATATTTTACATGTAACGAAGTATTTCATCTTAGTATTCAGTAATGACACAACATATGCATTTCGATTCTTAATTTAGGATAGATGGAGCTGTCTTTAGACTGCGGCATCTACATACCAAAATGGTAGACAGTGTAGTTTTTTGTTTACTTTTATTAAAAAAAGAGAATTGGTTGTTAGTAGAGTCGGTTTACGGACGATAGTTTAACATGACAACGTCATAACAAAACATTGATGAAACTATTGCATACTTTTATGAATAAAATTGAATAATTTTTATTATATTACCACAATTTTGTATGGATACAAAAGAAAGAGTGAAATGAAATCCACAAATTAATTGATGAATTTACTTTTACTCTCAAGCCGATCGTGACTTCCGCTCAATCGTGCAGCGCTCTCGCTCCGATTGTAACGAATTTAAGTTCATCAACTATCGGGCGACTATTTCTGGCAACTATAAGTTGATGTTTTGAAAGTGTTTAGTTCATCTAAACGACTTCAAAATCTCAGTGAAACAATTAAGTATAATGTTGTTCTAATTTAATGACTTTTTATCTTTTTTTTCTTTTTTTTATTATGTAATATGTCAGATTTTTGCAAAAGATTCTACTTTTTTAATGACACGTAAACGTTCTTGTCGTCTCAAATGATTAATAGCTTATTAGCCTGTTGAGATGGATTAACCTTTTTTGTATCAGAATATTTACCTACGTTATCCTACATTACTTTACGCAATATTGCACATATTCACGCTTTCATTTAAAGGGAAATGAGCCAAAGTTATGATCTTGATCCTAAAATGAAACAACCAAAACATGTAGCTTGTGTGACTTCGGTGTTAAGGAAATAATTTTATAATTATTTCAAACTGTCTTTGATTAACACTTTTTCTATAAAACTGAAGTAACAAACGAACTCACAGTCCACCTGATAGTAGGTGACTACTGCAGTGCATGGACACACACTTACAGCCAACTACAATGATAGATACTACAAAAATTTGTTGCCATCTCTGAAAACTTATATGGAATGCCTCACAAACTGTAATTAACTTGGCTTGGGTAACTTGCAGGCTATAATACTATTGAGGGGCAGAAATAGCCAAGAGCATGTTACCTACCAATACATACTCATGGGCATGTATTGGTAGTAGGTACTGTGGCCGTTGAAAGAAAAAGGAAGATCTCGAAAAGAAGGCAAGGTGTTCGGTAAAACACCTTGCCCGGTGGGAGATCGGGTGGGAGATCGGGTACGGCGAGTGGCCAAGATAGTTCGGAGCTATTATATATGTACTGTTTTTGATTCGGAACGTTTATAGCGCAATTTAAGCTTCGATATGTTTCGCTTGTGGCGCGACGACAGCGCTGCCACACCAACCCCTGATCAGACCGGAGGTCGATAGTTAAATATAGTTGCAGACGAATTTGCAAGTGCCAGAGATTGCCTTGTAGTCTGCGGTGAGTTCAGATGAAGGCAATTAATCTGTGAGAGTGCCGTGAAGCAGAGGCGAGCAGTAAGGTTCAGAGCCGTGTTGAACACTGTAGCGCAGAGAGTAGCTTAAAGGAACAGGAAGCATTATTATTCCAGTGCTGCGATGATCCTTGTGAAGCTAGATGGCTTGAGGATATGATGACTGTGGACAATATCTGCTCGGGAACGAATGGGTGGGATACTTTATGACGATGATCAAGATTGAAGTTGGAGTTTCAGAAGGTAGACTGCGGACAATATCTGCTCGGGAACGAATGTGTGGGATACTTTATGACGATGATCAAGATTGTAGTTGGAGTTTCCGAAGGTTGTTGGTTGCGTGTTCACATCACGTCAGTTGATCAAAAGAGGAGGGGGAGGTCTGGAAAAGGGGAGACCTTCCGCCGGGCAAGTTGTACTGCCTGGGGAGCGGCCAACACTCCGAGAGTTAGTTCGGAACTATTCTATATATACTGTTTTTGATTCGGAACTTTGACAGCGTGATTTAGGCTTCTTTGTATTTTGCTTGTGGCGCGACAACAGCGCCGCCATAGTACTAATGCATGTAAAGTAGTCTATTAATAATAAAACACAAACGAAACTTACGAGTATACGTGTTCAGCAAGAAACAATAACATTTTTGTCCATAATGTTTTCGAACTCCATAGGTTTTTGACCTCAACATTTGAAGAAGAATTATCAAGATATTTTTAATAGTTAATCTTAAATACGATTGTTGCAATATATATTGTAAAGGCTGATTATGTTACGACTATAGTTCTGGTAGAATGCATCTCAAAATACGACTATTCTTTGAAAAATAGGTACTGCTTACGTGTGCTGAATGAAGGTAATCAATGGGCAAATATTTGACCGTAATCCAGTTTTAATCTTTTAGTGCCATCGGTTCACCAAATTTCTTTGCAATGCAGAAATCGCTGAAACATTTACGCTATTAATTAAATTGTATTTAACTTCTCAATGGTATTACACAAACAAAAAAGGTACCAATTTATTATTATAAATAGCCAGATATTTTAAAAATGTAAACGGAATCAATAAACCTAAAAAAAAATATCTATGATATTCGCGTTCAGATCATTAGTTCTGGTACTGTGGTATTAGAAAAATAATTGTAGTAGAGATGTGCCAACTCGGAAGAAATTCGACCCGAGTTAACTTGGATTGAAATTCACGTTACTCGAATCGGCTGAACGAAACCGTGTTAATTTGTCACAAATTATTTTTTGTGTTTATTCATTCATTCAGCAGTTATTATAATCAAACTTAATAAGTTGTTATATATTTTCGGTTTCTGTAGTCAATTTCATCACTAAATTAAAGACTGCAATGACCGTAATATAAAGATGCGACTGTAGTAGAATTTTGTGACCCGAGTTTTTGAGCAATTTGAATTAACTATTTACAGACCCTGCCTCGAGTAAAAGTTTATCACACGAGATGCGAGTAACGATTATTTAGTTAAATCATTTCTAAATATGTACTTTTGATAAATAAATAAAATTTTGAAATAATACTAGTTTTTACGGAATTTATCGCGTATATTTTAACTTTTTAAATACCCGACGTTTCGAACGCTTTACAGCGTTACGTTATATTTACGCGCACACTACACATTGAAATAATACTAGTTTTTACGGAATTTATCGCGTATATTTTAACTTTTTAAATACCCGACATTTCGAACGCTTTACAGTTAGAGGAGTCACTGACAAGATTGGCTACATCTTGAAGCGCGCTCCCATCAAAACATGCTTCAAGCCGCTGAAGAAGATTGGACAGTTTTTACCATCGGTCAAGTGTAATGTCCCTCTGCAAGATGCAGGAGTGTACAAGCTTGATTGTGAATGTGGTCTCTCCTACATAGGACAAACTAAAAGATCAATAAAAACCCGCGTTAAAGAACATATAGCTGATGTGAAGAATCGACGCTCCGGGAAGTCTGCAGTCTGTGAACATGTACAGGATCGCCCCCGTCACTACATCAGATTTGATAGACCTAAGATCCTCGCTAAAGAACACCGATTCCTTCCAAGGATGATTCGCGAGGCTATTGAAATCAAAAAACATCCTAATTTCAATAGAGAAGATGGCTGGGTGCTACCATCTGCTAGGGATCCTATAATAAATAAAATTAAATCCCAACCCAAGCATACAACTGCAAGACTTCAAGATACCATAAGTTCATACTGCATAGATCGGAACAAAAGTTAAATTTTAATCTATGGTAACCGCGGTTAACTATGACATATGGACGTTGAACATCTCAGTCCTGCCCGTGACCATGAGTGCTGTAAAGCGTTCGAAACGTCGGGTATTTAAAAAGTTAAAATATACGCGATAAATTCCGTAAAAACTAGTATTATTTCAATGTGTAGTGTTCGCGTAAATATAAGAAATCATTAAGTAAAATTTTGCAATATGAAATGAAATACAAATATTAAATATCTATTTATTTATAGTATCTCCATGTTGTGTTCATATCTGTAGTATTTTAAAATATATAAAATGAAATCATAAATAAATAATAAATACATTTCCTCCACTCTTTTCCACCATCAGACAACAAGCGTATGGCAGGTCTTCACCCCTTTGTTATCAATATGTCATGCATTCGAACCTAACGGTTTGATTTGTTTTTTCCTAATGTGTACAGCAAATAAGTAGAATTAATATCGACACCTGCAAGGAAAAACATCGTAAGTCACTTTTTAGCGATTTTGAGTTACGATCATATTCTCAGTAAATAAAAAATTCTCTTTCATTTGCGCTCACCCCTGTATCTAAATTCATTCGCGTTACGATTTTGGCTAGTAGAAAAATGTTGTAAGTCAGTGTCCACTGAAGGTAATAAAAAAGGTATATTTAGTTACACATACTTACTTATGCCTGACATTAATTTCAATAACAATAATTTACTATTATTATTAATTTATTAATTATTGTCAATAACAATAATTGCAATACAAGATACTCTCTTGTTCTTGGCAATTATATTTTCGTAATAAAAAAGCTTTCATCGTAAAATTGCTTACGATGTTTTAATCTTTAAACAGAAAATAAAAATATCAGTCCAAAGACTGTAACATAAGTTACAATTATTTTCTCTGCAATAATTTTCGGGTTGTGTTTGTTTAACGATAGGTTATTTAAACTTACGATGCATAGATCCTTGATCGCTTCCTCAGGCGTATCAGAGGTATCATTAGTTTATGTACAAACTGCAATAGACGATTTTTTTAGAAGACGAACATGTGAACAATCGAAATAATGACGTTGAGAATAATGTACCACTGGAAAGGAGGATGTCACCAAATTTTGTCGAGACAGGTACGTATATAATAAAGTCCATTAAAATTACGTATGAACCTAAACTGGAAGTATGTTACGTTTGTGTTAATTACGTTCTACATAGTTAATGTAGATTAATGTTATGGTTTTATTTATAGGAAATATTTTACTAAGTTTTAAATATAACCTGAGACAACGCACTCCGGTAAAAATACAGAATGATCAAACAGTCTCCAATGAATCCGAAGAGATTTACTCACCAGTAGTTTCAGAATATTTACCACCTCAAGAAAACGGTAGGTATTTTTTATTACATTAAGTATCGTAAATATTACCAAAGTTCGTGTGTATGGTACAACCAAATTAATCCTGATCTAGGTTAAATATTGACATATTGTGTAGGTATCAGTATTCGTTGTACTGGCAGCTTAAAATTTAAAATTGATTTTTCGGTCACAAAAAAACAAGTTATTGAAATTTAATGTCATATGTTTTCAGCTCCATCTGTTTTAACACCTGATGCCGATACAGAATTAATAAATGATGAATTCATAGAAAATTACAATAATGAACAAATAGAAGATATTTTAAGTGAAATTGGTAAGTTTACCTACTTGAATACTACGAGTATAACAGCAGTAAAACGATAAAATAAAGATATTTATTTTTAAAAGCGATTTAATAATGTCCTGCTGTATTTTTAGTGCAAAACCAAGAACTTAGTGATGCAATAGAACCTGGAATACGAACCTCTAAAGAACAAAGTAATGTAATAGGGAATGGAAGTCAAACTAACGTAGAAGAGCCTAGAATTTCATCACACATTAATGCTAAAGAAAAAAAGAAATATCCGAAGAAAGTTAACCCAGGAAGGAAGAGATTTTTGAATAAAGAAAATTGGAAGGCTGAAATATGTAAACGAAAGAAAAATTTGGGCGAGGAATTTATAAATAGAAAAGGGCAGTTAATAGCGAAAAAAAATTATGAAACCAGACTGTGGTGCTAATTGTTCACGTAAATGTCGAGAAGCAATCACAGAAAACCAGAGAAGTTTAATATTTAAAAACTTCTGGGAACTGGGGGATCATAATAAACAAATTGATTATATTAGCCGATTTGTGAGAAGAGTCCCAAAAAAACAAGTTATTGTCGCCTCGGCCTCATCCAGTAGGCGCAAGTGGTCTTTTGAATACAATTTGTTTATAGAAGGTCAAGAAATACGAACCTGTAAGACGCCCTCTCTATAAGCGACATGTGGTTGAAGACTTTATTTAAAAAAATTGATAAGTCTGCTACAGGTACTAGACTACAGGAGCTAAACACTCTGATTCTGTTGTAACAGCTTGTTATGATTTACAAAAAATTTGAATACTCCTCATTCAAAAGTGTATTTTACTACAAAAGAAAACTTGCTACATATAACTTCACGATCTATGATATGAGTAATTGGGGTATTGCTACTTGTGGGACGAGACGATCGGACGCAAAGGATCTAACGAAATAAGTAGTTTTGTATTCGACTTCATAAAAACTAGGGTTCAGGAAGGATACAAGGAGTTTAATTTTTATTCTGATAGCTGTGGCGGTCAGAATAAAAATAGGACAGGATTCGCAATGTATGCATATGCTAGCAGAATATTTAATATAAATATAAATCATCACTTCTTTGAAGTTGGACATTCACAATCAGAGGGTGATGCGATGTATGCACTTATTGAGCGAAGGAAAAAACATAAAATTATCTACGTACCTCAGCAATGGGTGACTTTAATAAGATGCGCTAAATCTAGTGGTGAGCCGTATGAAGTCAACGAAGTAAACCAAGACAATATATTGGATTTTAAACAACTTTTGCCATGTTACAAAAATTGGGAACACGACGTTAACCATGTGAAAGTCTCCTGGAGTAAAATTATGCATATTCATTTTATCAGTAGCTTACCTAATATAATTAAATTTCAATATGATTATCTGAGCGACAATGAAATGGTTATAAATCTAGCTCAAGATATTAAGACAGTTTCTCTTCGGGCAGTTTCTCGTCGCGCTACCAAGGAACCTCAAAACAGTGAACAAGAGCTACCGATTTCAAAGGCTTATAATGCACCTTTGCCTTTATCTACAACAAAGTACAAAGATTTAATAAGCAATGCCATTCCAACAATATATCATGATTATTTTATGAATTAACCTTATGAGAAAACGATTCTACCAAATAATATGACTGATTCTGATTAAGAAGTATTGTGTTTTAAAACTATTATGTATATTTTAGTAAGTAATATATAATCGAATGTTTAGTATGCATACAATATAATTACTATATTGTATGCATACTAAACATTTTAAAGTATCTTACAGAAACAAACATTTAAAATTTAAAAAAAAAGTCTTTGATGTACATAATCAATGACATTTCTTTTTTAATAATTATTTTTCCTTAAATTTCAAATGTTTCTTTCTAGATATTTTTGAACTTATTTTATTAATTGATAAACTGATTTTAGATAGTTGGTTAGAGATTGCAAAGACTTGTGATTGTTTATAGAGTAACAATTGTAATACTTTCTGTTGCTTAAATTTGTAATTTTTGTTTCTTTAAATATTTTAAAGTTTGTTATTAATTGTGACATTCAGAATTTCATGGACCTCACTGTAATGCTTATCTTAAAGTTGATTGGATAGGTAACTTAAACAGATTTCAAAAGAAAATTAAATATAACATAATAAAACATAAGCAAGAACTAACCAAAATTAGCAAAACGACATTTTTTATTATTATATTTTCTTAATATGAAAAACTCTTTGTTTTGGTGTGTCAACATGATTTATTCCTTGCATTTTGAGATTTTTATAGTTAAAATTAATAAAGATTTTCCTAATTATTTCACAATGTTTTATTCTTACATTAACTCATATAACACATAAAAATACATGTTTGGCATTGTATCTCAGACTTACATTGTTTTTAACTTAATGAAGTAAATATTAACACACAAAATTGAATTGTATGTCTCAGTTACAATGTCATTTTATAAAGTTTATGTCATGTAATGTTATTGTAACTCATAAAAAATAATAGAATGCATATATTAATAACATATTAATGATATGAAAGTGTAGATTTTCCTTTGCTAACTTAAATTTTCGTGGTGAGATGGCGCTAGGACTTAACAGAACTATATAAGAATTTTTTTGAATCTTTGACGCGCTCTCCTGTAAAGTTGATAAAAATCAGTTACGATCTTTTTCCTTGCATGTGTCGATATATATATATATATATATATATATATATATATATATATATATATATATATATATATATATATATATATATATATATATATATATATATTACCAAATTTCACCAAATTATGTTGCGAGTTATGTTAAAAAAAAAAAACGTTCTTTTTTTTTAAATGTTAAATTTTTACTCATTCGATATCTCATGAACGAATGAACCGACTTTTATATTCCAAACGGAATTCGACGTCATTTTTTGAGTTTAAGAGCTAATTAGTTTTTGAAATCCATCGGTAAAGCTGTTTAAAATTTATTCCAAAAAACAGTTTTTCAAAATATTTATTTTTAAGATTTCTCAAAATCTACTCGTCCGAATCAGTTCATATTATCGCCAAATCTATTTCAAATTGAGATATTTATAACGCCGCATCTCAATCGATCAAGACGTTCAAAAGTTGTGAAAGGTTTACATGCTTAAATACATACACACACGTAATCGTGCAAAGCGTTATAAACTTTGATCAAAGTCAATATGAGTTTGCAGTAATTGTGTTCTATATTTATTTTTAAATGTGTGTACTGCTTTCAGATTTCGCAAAGGAGGCGGTATATCGTTCCAGCAATTGGATGCGGCGTATTTGAAACTTCCTCGGAAAGCGTGAGTGCGGTGACGAGGCACGACGAGAGTATTTCCTCTGATGCGCGTATTATAAGTTTTTACATCACGTGACCATATGAGTTTGTCAGCAAGATAAGGAGGTGTTTTATTTTTTAATACCCCGAATAGGAGAGTTGCCATGTGCAGTTTTCAGCGATATTCCATTTTTAACATTTTGGCATTGTTAATGTAAGGTGTGACGTGCGTGCGGGGCGGTATTGTAAAACTAAATCTTGCACATGCATTTTGAACACGTTGCACTAGACGTCGCGACCGCGCTAAATGTCTCGGGCCATATACAATGTCCATATAATTAAATTTCGAAAGGACAAGTGTGTCACACAATTTTACCCGAATATCCGAATTTCAAAACTCCCTTATTTGATAAAGAACTTTAAGCCTATAAAAGAAGTTTCTGCTAGTACTTAGTATGTGGTTCTCAAACTGTAGTTTGTCATCCATTAGTAAGCCCAGATTGCTAATCTCATTTACACGTTCTACGATTTCCCCTCGAATTTGGATGCATGCCCCTCTTTCTGATAAATTTTTTATTTGATTTTTAGAACCCATAATTAGTAGTTTAGATTTAGTTCCGTTTAGTACATGGCAGTTTGAGTCGCACCACGCGGCTATACTTTCGAGGTCTTCGTTGATTTTATTAACGACTTCTTGAGTATCACGCGGATTACATGACATGTAGACTTGCAAATCATCTGCGTATAAATGAAATTTACAGTGCTTAATGTTTTTTACTAAGTCGGCACTGTAAATTGAAAACAATATTGGAGCCGGGTTCGATCCCTGGGGCGCACCGGCTTTGATTTTTTTTGATTGCGAACGTATTAATGTTCCTCGGTCATCGCTCAGTTCTACAGTTTGTAGTCGGTTTTTAAAATAACTATCGAACATTGCACTGCGCTGCTACTGAATCCATAGTAATGAAGCTTTGATAAGAGAAGGGAAACATTTATACAGTCAAATGCACGAGAAAAATCTAGTAATACTAGTATTGTGCCTTTTCCTTTATCTTGAGCGGTTAGTACATCGTCAGTAAGTTGGGCTAGGGCCATCGTGGTGCTATGGTTCTTACGAAATCCCGACTGCATTTCCGGTAGAATTTTTTTCTATCTAAATACATGTTTAGCTGTTCTGCGACAATTTTTTCAATAATTTTAGAGACACAGGGGAGAATACTGATGGGCCGAAGGTCTTTTTCAGACAATGGATTTGAGTTCTTAGGTTTGGGTTTGACTAACGCATGTTGCCATAATGTCGGATAGGTTTTAGAGTTAATGGATTTGTTCACCATAGCAGCAATAGTTGATAGTGTTTTCGGGAGGGTCATACGGATCATATCGAGAGAAATCCCATCAATGCCTATGGCTTTAGATTTTAAACTTTTAATGAATTTTAGTACCTCTAGTTCATCTACCTCCTTTATCTCAAATATGTCATTAACGCAGCAGTGGAACTCAAAGTACGTTAAATATGACAACGAGACGTTTCTATTTCCAGGCACGTTTAAAAAATAGTCGTTTATTTTATTTGGATCATTAAACAAGTCTATCGGGATATTGTGTTTTGGTTTTATCTTAACATTGGACTTTATATGTTTCCACATTGAAATAGGATTATTTATATTACGATTAACATAAAAATGATAGTAGGCTTGTTTTTCTCTATATATTGCGTTATTGACGTAGATTTTTAGATCTTTATAGTATTTAATATGTATGTCGTTTTTACTTTTTCTCATTTTAATGTATGCGTCATCTCGTTTTTTCATCATCAATTTTATATTAAAGGTTAGCCACGGGAATTGCTGACGTTTAATAATTTTTTTCTAAGAGGCGCGTGAATTTCAAATAGTGTAAGTATGGCTGTGTTAAATAGCACTACCTGATTATTTACATCCGCGATACTCTCAATTTCTTTCCAATTTATTGATGTGAGGTCCTTATGAAAGTCTCCCTCGTCTATGTCAGAAATTCTCCTACTCATTATTGTTACTGGTGCCGGCTTTTTTTTACTCATATCAATTTGACATTTAATAAAAGCATGACTACTTAATTCGCGTATAAGTTCTACAGTAACTACGTTTACAT